GGGTTGTGGCTTGGGAGGCCATCCTAGCCATGACAACCTTTTGGGCACCCGCAGTCACTCGGAAAGGCCTGTGAGGGCCCCAGGAAGGTCCACGTCACCGAGGTCTTTGGTTCCAAAAGGCAGTGAGTTCTTAGGGTTTGTCACTATTCCTGAGCTGTCACCCAGCCTCTGTCATCCTCCCAGGAGCCCAGGAAGGCCTCGGGCCAGCTGGCCATCTGGGGTGGAGTCCACGCAGCACACAGAGAGCCAGGAAGCAGCACCACCTGCGACAGCCCCCCAGTCCCTCTGCAGGGCCCCCTCCTACCTGCATCCAGTGGCAAAGGGCCAGGAGACAGAGGGAGAGACCACAGCCGCTGGGGGGCTGCACTGGCCTCAGCCTGGGCGCCTGCTGCCTAAGTCCCAACTCACAGGTCACGTTCTCAGATCCACAGCCTAGGAAATTCAGCCTCCCCAACAGCATGGAACCAGGCCATGGCAGCTTTCTGCTCTGGGAAAGGCAGTCAGGGCCCAGCTGTTGAAGAAGCGGGGACAGAGATGAGGACAAACTGCGCTGGGTTTGGGGCCTCCAAGTTGCAAAGTCTGCACCTGCAAATCCAGCCGCAGCCACCAGGGGGCGAAAGTGTGTGCCCCAGGCTGGACGAGGCCAAAGGATCCCACCAGCCAGGAGGTGACCGAAGGCACTCACCTCTGTCCCGCTGTCCACACAGCCGTGCTCCTTCAGCACAGAAAAGGGAATTCTGCAGTTTCATTTAACAAAGACCTCCTCCCACCTTCGTCCCTTTTCCGTGCCATCTCGGGGGCAGCAGACATCGGTAGCTGGGAAATGCAGCTTCGTGGGTAAAGGGCCAGGGTAGAGTGCCTCTCCCCATCACTAGCACTGTCAGGTTTAGCAAATAAACACAGGACACACCACTGCATGGGGATCTCAGGTAAACAGCACTGAAGCGTGAAATACCGGGCACATATGGACACTAAAACCCTGTTTGTTGCTCAACCGAGATTCTGGTTTGACTGTGTTGGAAGTCCGGTGTTCTGTCCTGAAGCCCTACCCCTGCGGCCGGGGGCCTGGCCAGGGGGAAGAGGACCCACGTGACCCTGAGCCGGCATCCCCGAGCCCTTGGTGAGGTCCCCGCCTTGTTTCTGCAGGTGTGAAGCGGGTCAGTCCGGGAGGTGACATCACCTCTCCTCCTAAGCGCTTCTCTGTGCACAGCCCAATTTCACGCAGGAGCCTTGAAGGACGGTTCTTAGGGACCAAGACTGAGTCCTGTGACTGGTCAGTCCCCATGTGCCACCATTCTGACCCCCACCCAGCTCCCATGAAGCCGGCTCTTCCTCCAGCCCAGCACAGCCTCTGCTCCGATGGCCTCCGGTGGTTTCCTGGGACAGAGCGGAGGCTGCACCAGGTCCCGGGCTGAAGGCGTGTGCCTGGGGCAATGAGGCCATTCTGGCCCAGCATGGATTCAATGTGCACTCGGCCCACCTAGGTGTGGGCACCCGGCCCAGCCCCACGGGGTCCTGGTCAACTGCACAGAGGCATCCGGCTGAGCTCAAAGCACCTGCGACACCAGAAAAGCAGCCTCAGGAAGTGCAGCCAGCAAAGCTGCTCCTTTCGGGCTCTGTGCAGATCAGCCTGGTGCCGACCCTGGGAAGGGCCTCTGCCATCCCCCCAATCCCGAGCCACTGCTGCATCCCAGGATGAGAAGGTGACTTCGCACCTCCACCCTAAACAAACATGGGCGCTGTGATGTGGGGCCCCTGGCCCTTTGAGGTCCAGTGGTGGGGTCCGACTTGACCCCCCACCCAGCCCGCAGAGCCAGGCCAGGCTGAGGCTGTGTCCAGTGCCTTCCAAGTGCCCAGACCCACACCCAGGAGCTCGGCCTTCTCTGGGCCCCACCCTGGCCCACAGCAGCAGGACCCTGGTGGCATCTTCCTGGTGGGCAGGGGCAGTGAGAGACGCTCAAGGGACCACCCTGGCCTCAGCACCCATGGGCACTCAGTGCTGAGCAGGACACAGCCCCACCCTGCAACATACTCCACGGGCAGGGGACGGGGCAGAAGCCAGAGGCCACAGGCAAGGTGGGCTGGTACCCAGAGGGCCCCAGTACAGAGCCCCAGAGGACCCTGGTGCGGCCAAGCTTTGGCGATTTGGCCCCTGGCCCTTGTGGTAAAAGATGGCAGCACTGAATCCGGATCTGACAATTCTCAAGGCCAGGAGAGTATGGCCAGAAGGAGGCCACACACCAGCGGGACAGGGCTGACAGCCACCAAAGCCAAGGCTCAGGGTCTCTGTTGTCACTCGCACCCAGAGCTGCCAGTCCTTCCTGTCCCAGCCCCAGGTGGCCCAGGCCTTGTGTTGCTCCTGCATGTGGGAAGGGCTCACAAACCCACAATGCAATGGTGTGTGTGCTTACCTGAGTCACCTACACACGTGTGCGCGTGGGGCGACACGCATATGCGGCCACGGGTACTCTGCAGACACGCGTACACACGTTCATGGGCCTGCATGTGCGCGCATGGACGGGTGTGCACGGGAGAGGCGCACACATGCATGTGCCTCATGCACACATACAAAAGCATGTTTACCAGCTGCTCTGGTTTACGCTTTTTATCAGGAGAGGTCTGAACCTGCGCCCCTGGGGCGGGCACTAGGGCAGAGAGCTGGGCCGAAGCGCAGCACCGATCTTCCACCCTCGGGCGGGGGAAGCGCACGGACCAAGCCGAGGTCGGCTGCCTGGTTTCCAACCAACGAAGGCGCAACAGGGCGAGGCGCATGCGCGGACCAGGGCAGAAGCGCAGACCCTGCGCACACGGCGCCAGCGGGTCCCCGCCCCTCGCCACCCACAGTTCCCCGCGTGCTGCTGCGTCCGGAAGTCCGTGGAGCCCTCTGCCGGCGCTCACGCTGATTCGTCACCAGCACTTCCACTTCCGCAGCCAGTTCCGTGCCTCTTCCCGCCAAGCGCCGGACGTGTGTCTGTGGGAAGTGCGCGCCCGCCCTGTTTTGTTTCCGGGGGAATCTGCTTCTCGGAGGAATCCTCGGGATTTCCGATGTTCCCCTCGGCTTCTGATTGGCTGGCTTTGTGAATTCATTATCGCAACAAAAAATTGGGATTAGTTTCTTACACGTTCAAATTAGTAAAAATAAACAGATGTAAATAGTTCGGGTGTCCTATTTTCAGGGTCTCCTGCACTAGTGCTTCCCTGAGGATGGGGAACAGAAACTCGCCGTCACCGACAGTGAAGGCGAATCTAGATGCTTAAATACCGCGCGTGCGGATTAATGGTCGTGTTGTATGAAAGGAGAGAAGGTTAGCACTCCCCTTGACAAGGATGGAAGAGGCCCTTGGGCCTGACAACACGCATACGGTTAAGGCATTGCCACCTACTTCGTGGCATCTAACCACTGTTTTGGGGTTTGCGGGGAGAGGCGCGAGCGCCTGCCGTGGGAGGAGCAGGAATCCAGCCCCCCACCTGGGGCTCCTGAGCGCTCCTGCTGGTTTGGTTTGGGGTACCGGTGATCGAACTTGGGACCTTGCGCTCGCGAGGCAGGCGCTGGAGCTAAATCCCCGGCTCTAAGGAGAAAAGATTTAGCAGTTTTGTTTTGGGTTTTTTTGGCACCGGGGATCGAACTCGGGACCTTGTGCCTGCGAGACAGGCGAACTCAGGACCTTGCGCAATCGCGGCACCACTGAGCTAAATCCCCGGCCCTGCCTCCTGCGAGTTTTGAATCCGAAACCCCCTCAGCACCTGGGTGACTAAGTTGCTTTCGACTCCGGGTAGAGGGTCCTGCGGGGGAAGCGAATGGCAGCGAACACCCTGGTGCCGTCTTCAGTCCCCAGAGCAGGGCGTGTCGGGACCCAGGGCGCCCCGTGAGACACTCCCGGGAAACCCCGCCAGACGCCACCCCTTCATGTCTCAGGCTTGCAGTGCACATGGGTGCTGGTGTTGGTGTCACGCACGGGTATGAACTTGTCACTGTGCATGCCCGAGTATCAAGGGCGTGTGTGAATGCATTTTAATATTAAGAACTGGGAAATGAATCAGATCTTTGATCAGTTTTCTCCTTCCAGACTGGGGATTGAACCCAGCGCCTGCACTGAGCTGCATCTCAGCCCTTATTTTTTGAGACCAGTCTTGCTAAGTTGCCCAGGTTGGGCTCCTGCCTCAGCCTCCCAAACGTGGGGACCACAGACCTGTACCACCACACTGGCTCCATGCATTCCCTGCTCCCGTGGCCAAATGTCAGGGAACTGGACTCAAAGCATCTGGGTCGGAGTGAAAGGAACAAGGGTGCTGGATGCTCCCACTACCTACAGGGCATTGGTGCCTATGGTCTTAGCCGTTCTAACACTGCCAATAAGCACAACGTGTAGCGCTTAGTGAGAGGGGTATTCTATGCCAAGCACAGCGTGGCACTCGGGACACTGCCCAGCCCAATAACGCCCAGCACAAGCTGTCCTCAGGGCGGCGGTCAAGGGCACCAGCAAGGCCAGTCTTTGGGGAGAGCCGCTGGAGCCCACAGGGACAGCGGCACACTCATGCCCACTTCCAAACCCACCTCCCCACAGAGGCGCTGGACACGGCACCCGTGTGCTGCACTCTTCGAGACTGTAAACTAAAGCCTTCATCAAAAGCAATAAAAGGGCCGGGGATTTAGCCCGGTGGTTCCAGCGGCTGCCTCACAAGCAGAAGGTCCCAAGTTCGATCCCAGGTACCAAAAGAAAAAAAAAAAAAGCAATAAAAAGCCAGGTGTAGCAGCACATATCTGGAATCCTAGCACCAGGTTTAAGGCCAGCCTGAGCTACAGAGCTTATCTATAAAAGCAGAGCAAAAGGAGACGGAAGTGAAAGCGAGCTTGAGCTATTAGGAAAAATAACTTTTTTTTGGTACCGGGGATCAAACTCAGGACCTTACACTTTCGAGGCAGACGCCGGAACCACTGAAGCTACATCCCTGGCCTGAAAAGTGAATTCTTATGGGACAAAATTACAAGACACACAATCTTTATTTTGAAAAAGAGATGTATTTTTACATAAATCTACAACAGAGAGTTCAACTGTAGAAAAAATAAACTATATTCAGGACACAGCGTTCACCACAGCAAGCCCTGCCCTCCCAGGAAAGGCTCCACCTAGGACAGGAAGCCCCACAGCAGCTCGGTGGGTCTGTTATACAGGTGGCAGGCGCAGGCCTCGGACCCTGGCCACTGGGTGTTAGGGCCAGAGTCCCCTCCTGCTGCCACAAGGGACGTCACTGACAGCCCATGCATGCGCCTCCTTCCGAGGGGAGGGGGATGAGGAAACTGCCCCAAGCCTCTGCCCCGGGCCTTCCGGGATTCTTACCTCGCACCACTGGACTGCAGGCATGGAGGGTGCCCAGGGCCTCCCTGGCTGGAAACAGGGACTCGCTGGGGGTCCCCACAGGCCCCCACACCCTGCTCTGGGCCTGTCTGTCCACCTACGGTCCTGCAGGCTCTGCCCTGGGCCTTGGACCCTGAGGTGACACCAGCTCCTCAGTGCTGCAGATGGGGGGGACCCCGCAGGGCGACGTGCCTGACACCCCTGCAGCCCGCGCTCAGCAGTCTCCATGAGCAGACATGGGCTGGAGCCCCATGTCCACCTCCTTCCTTCCGGTCAGGCTCCCATAGACTCGGCCAGACGGCGCCTAGGAGCCTGGCCGCCACCTCTCCCCAGACCCGACCCCTGAGGAGCCAGATGCCAGAGGCCCCAGCTGGGGTAGGACTGCTCGGGATGCTCAGTGAGGCCAGGGGCCCCAGGAGTAGCTCCGAGGGTGGCAGGAGGGAGGACGCCCAGCCTTGAGGGCACCACAGCCCGTTCCCTCCCATGCTGGTCATGGAGTGTGGCCTAGGATGCAGGTCACTGCCACCCACAGGCCCAACAGGCCCACAGGAAGCACTGGGCCCCGGGCGCCACAGGAAGCCCAGCCTCCAATGGACAGGGAGGGGCCAGATGGCAGCACCTCCGGATGCCCCTGCCCACCTGCCCCTGCCAAGCGAGTCATACGCCAGGTGGAGACGAGCTCCCGTCGGAACGCAGGTGCCAGGAGCCAGTGCAGAAGCCCACCGTTTATTACAGTCCGTGCAGCTGCATGGAGGCCAAAGACGGGGGGGACACGGCCTGCGGTCGCCATGTGTCAGCGCCCGGCCCAGAACTCCGGGTACAAAGGACTCGACACGCAAGGAGCCTCACAACACTTTGTGCTCCCGGAGACGAGCAAACGTGCCGGGCACTGCTTCGGGCGGGGATCGGTGAGCTGGCAGTGCCCGCAGCCTGAGCCAGGGCACAGCGCTTGCTCGCACTGGGTGGGAAAATATCAAAAATGTACAGAACAAGTACTGGAAAAAACAACCCATGATAAATCGAACTTCGCTCTCTTGTGATAAAAAATTTAAAACTTTTGTGGCCTCTGAGCAAATGAACTGGGAACTCCTCCCTGGGCGAGGACAGGGCTGGCAAGAAACGTCCCAGCAACGCCAGAGCCTCCTGGGGTGCGCGTCCCTCGGCCCACCGTCCTCAGAGCCGCAGATGCGGGCGGCCACCCAGGCCCCACACCTGTGCCATGCCACGCTTCTTGCCAACCGGTTGACTTCCGACAGTCTCGGTCCAGGAGGGCTTAGCAGTCGCTCTTCCACAGTTTAATGGTTTTGTCATTCTCTAAGGCGGCAGAGGCGATGATGTTCTCCGTGGGGTGACAAGCCGTCGAGATCACCACATCTGCAAACAGAGGTCAGGGTGCCCTCTCACCAGGTCCACAGCGAGCCAGGCCACCACCTGGCCCCAACCACAAACCACCACAGGGGCTCATGGGGGTCAGGCAGCCTGCTGGGCACAGGAGCGCGAGAACAGTGGCAGGGCCTCCCAGCCGTGCTGACCCCCCACCGCCGCTCACCCACACCAGCGCGATGCCAGGCCACCCCAGCTGCTCAGAACATGCACGCGGCACCACGCACCCCCGGCACCCAGGAGGCAGGGAGCCTGCGGCCCACCATTGCCAGGCACAGGCCCCATCCACACGGAAGTCAGCCACGCAGGTGATGGATGGGCCCAGGACATGTGGCGGGCAGGAGCACTGGGACCTGCCAGGAGCACCCGGCAGCAGCCCACAGCAGGGGCGCAGGCAGAGAGGGGAGGGGGAGCAGCCACATCCCAGGCCACGCTGCGGAGCCCACCTGTGTGGCCCTGCAGCTTCTGCACAATCTCCTTGGTCTGCAGGTTCCAGATGTACACCAGGTTGTCCTCAGAGCCAGACACGATCCACTGTCACAGCGAGCGGCAGGCACAGGCGGGAGGAGATGCAGGGTGAGCGGGCTTGTGGCTGCTCTACCCCTGCCCCAGAGCCCCCTAGCTGTGTGCTCAGCTCAAACGAGCCACCCACCCGCGTCACCTGAGGAGCCATGAGGGAGCCTCCAGGCTGGAAGCCACCCCTGGAGTTCCACCCTGAGCTCCCAGGTCAGTCACATTTCGACCGGTGTCATCACCTACTCTTTGTCCCTTGAGGACCCTAGGGCCTAGACGTAGGCACGGGGTGGGGAAAGGGCCCATGGGGCAGTGGACTCTGCACACAGGACAGGAGGCCAAGGCCACCCCGTCACACCCACGCCCACACCCAACAGGGCCGCCGGCCCACGGGAAGAAAGGGGATCCAGAAGCAGGCAAACGCCGCCTCCGAGTCCTGCCTTGCTCTACTCCAACCCCTGGCAGGCTGTGATGTCGCTCTGGTCAGGGCCAGGAAGACGCACTACAGACAGAGCAGTCCTCACCTTCCCGCCAGTCACAGAGAAATTGGCAAATATGCAGTACTTCTCGTTCTTGTGGCCCGTATACGTCTTCAGGCACTGGAAGAGGTGACGGAGAGGACATCAGGGTTCTGCATCTTGAGCGCTGTCCTCTGGCCAGGACGAAGCTACACCCAAGTGTGGACCCACATTCTGCAAGGACTCGAGTGGAGCCAGCTCAGCGAGGCTGAGTGCTCCCGATCCCACGCCCAGGGCTGCCCCTCACCCCCCAACACAGTACACATCAGGCCGGGCCAGGGTGCGCCAGACCTCACCTTCCCCTTGCTGTAGTCCCAGAGCTTCAGTGTGCTGGAAGACAAGAGAGGGTGAGGGGCTGGCCACCAAGGACGACACAGCCACCAGCAGCACCTGGTACGACATCTGCCAGGCTGGCACCCTGGGGCCCTCAGAGCCCCGAGCCCCATGAATCAACGACACACAGGAGCAAGCGGGAGACCCTCCCGACTGCAGTTCAACCCTGCATAGCAACCAGCCTCCGGGAGGCAGGGAATCATCAGGGCACCAGGAACCTGGGCGCAGATCCCACAGGAAACTCAAGTCCTGACCACAGTGGGGGATGGAGGGGAAAACGGCAACCACGTGCCCTCAGGGGACCTGCAGCCACATAGAAGAGGCACACAGGAGCCAGCCAGAGCTGCAAGGGCCATGCAGGGAGCAAAAGGGTGACGGGTGACAGTACACTTCTGTCACAGTCAAGACCAAGGTGCTCAGGGCCGGGTGCCGCTCAGTGGAGAGCGCCGCCCAGCGCAGGCCAGCCCGGGTTCTGCTCCCGGCACTGCAAGGAAGAGAAGCTCAAGGTGCCCAGAGGTCTGAGCTGGAGAGGCCCACACACCCCACGCAAGCTGCACCCCAATCCTCAGAGAGGAATGGGCAAGGGCCCCTTCGCCTCCCACACACACGCGGAGCCTGCGGCCCAACAGGTCAGAGCCCTGCCACAGCTGGGACCCAGGGGCCCACACAGGGCGGGCCAGAGCTCTTACTTGTCCAGAGTGGCCGCCAGGATGTATTTGCCATTCGGAGAGAACTTCACGAAGGACACCGGGGGATTGTCGTCATCTTTGTGGGAAACACGAGACTGAGTCACAGTGGGCAGGACCAGCTCCCCACCACCATGGCACCGTGCAGGATGACTTCGTGAGGTTGCTGCCACCGGTCACACCGCCACCACCCTGAGGAGCCCACAGAGCCACCGACACCCTCTCCCACCCCCGTGCCAGTGTGGGTGTCCTCGGGGCCTCTCAAGCCTCCTTAGATGCCAGGGCTTTAGGAGTGAAGGGCCAGAGGCAAGAAACACTCGGTCCCCAGGGCTCCCACCACACAGGGCCTCTCGTGTGACAGTCACTGCCACCCATGCAGGACGTCTGCAAACGCCCAAGGCTGAGAAACCGTGATGCTGGGGAAAGCGGCCCACGCTGTCCTATGGGAAGCAGCCTCAGGAACTCGGCCCCTCTGCTCCCAGCGCCCTGGCTCTAAGCTCAGCCTGTGGCCCTCAGCCAGGGGAGCTGCCTGGCCACAGCTGAGGGGGCCGTGCACACTGCCGAGACCCCCGGCATGCCCCGAGCACACGCATTACCACGGACTCGCCGCGGCCCCGGCTCCCTCAGTCTGGTCACCCACACTGGAAAGGCACACAAGATGGTCACAGGAGCGCCCTCCTGTCCAGCGCTCTAACTCCCACACTGCGCAGCACATCCCGGGACACGGCTCACCTCTCCTGCGCAAGCCCAGGCCACCCTGCACCCTGTAGCTCAGGGACTCAGACCCCACCTGGCACCCGCAACAGCCAGCTGCAGCCCCAGGACCCAAGCGACTGCAGGTCAAAAACACTGCAGAATGCTGGGGATTTAGTTCAGTGGTACCTCGCCTGCCTCAAAAGCGCAAGGTCCTAAGTTCAATGCTAGGTATGGGGGGGGGGGGGCAAAAATATGCAGAAATAAAAGCCAGGTGTTTCAGCAAACACCTGTAATCCCAGCACTCAGGAGGCGGAGGCAGGAGGAACACCCTGAGTTCAAGGGCACCCTGAACTACATAGTGAGACCGTCTCCAACCCGCCCCCGAAATACTGCAGAAATGACATATTCCAGAAGACTTCAAAGAAAGGAAAATGTAATCTGCCACCAACCAGGACTGCCTTGAGCTCGGCAAATGTATTGCTGGGGAGTCGCCTGGCCACCAACCACCCGCCCTGCGCCGGGCTGCGGGGGGCTCAAACCTGTGCACCCCGTTGTTAATGCCCCTGCCGTCACTGCACATCTCAGCGTCATTGCCCAAATATGGAGGTGACTACAGCACAGCCCCCACTTCGTGAAGTGCTACACCGGACAGATGATCTAGCGACAGGAGACTGCCCAGGTCCCGCGCGAAAGTCACGCCAACCATGCGTGAGACGAGCATCGACTACAGGCCCTGCAGCCGTGCAGCTCAGTGGCCGCTCCGCCTCAGAGATCTGTAACCGCAGGCCACCGCACCTGCAGGCAGCTGTTGCGCTGTCTCTAACACAGGCATCAGCACCTCACTCATGAACCCCCGGGAGGACAGGATCTGAGTGGACAGCACTGGCTCCAGGTGTCTGGGAGGGACATGTGGACATGTGAGTCACCCTGGGCACCCGGGGTGGGAAGTCGGGGTGGGCCAGGCGAGAGGATGCTTCTGGCAGCAAGAAAGCACGTGGCCCTGCTCCAGGACCAATCCTGCGGCCCCTCCCGAGGCCCCACCCACACAGTGTGTCCTGGTGAGAAGGGACTTGGACACACAGAGCCACGGCCGGGCCCGTGCAGAGGGGTGGCTGAGTCAGGGGGCGGGGAGACGACCTCTGCAGGAAGGGACAAGGCCCTCGGCCTTCACCCCGGGCAGGCCCCTGGCGGCTCCCTCTCTGCCACCAGCAGGCCCCCGATCGTGAGGCTCCACTGGTACCTGCGGACTGGCCCCCACCCCCGCACCCCTGAGCAGCGCCCCTCCAGGCTGCTGCCCCCAGCCCAGGGTCGCGCAGGCCTCCCAAACCTGTGGGCCGTGTTCCTGCTCGCAGGACAGTCTGTCCAGCTCAGCAGCACCTGCAGGCAGCCTGCTTCCTGCACAGGGGAGGCCTGGCCCATAGTGTCTGGACAGCACAGGCTGAGGGCCCCAAGGGAAGAACTGTGCACCCTGGGTGGGCAGGAACGTGGGCAGACAGGACCCCAGGGAAGTGGGCCCAGGGCAGGCAGCTCAGGAAGAGCGAGGGCCAAAGCCACAGAGGCCGACGGGAGCCAACGGCAACCTGCAGGGCACACTCACCAATGAGCGTCTTCAGGCACTGGCCGGATGCGGTGTCCCAGATGCGGCTAAAAAGGAAGAACAGAACACGTAAGGAAGCAGCGACCTCGAGGGACCAGGACCAGGACCTACAAACACCCTGTGCGTCATCTTGAACTCCAGCCGCCTCAGACGGCCACCTGCACTCCTGCCTGCAGGCCGAGGGACTCCCACCCACCTGCCGCCCTGGCTGGGGCTCACTGGCAGGTCGAGCTGCTTCCGCAGACTCACAGCGGGGCTGGTCTTCTGTAAAAATGACCCTGCACACCCCACTGGATGAGCAGCAGTGAACACGGTACGGTCAAAGGCCACGACTCCCAGAGGGCGCGGGCCAGGCTTTGAGCTCCTTCAGGGCCAGCACAGGATCCTGGATTGAGTCCCACCCTGAACAGCATCAACACCCACAGTTCCAGGCCAGTCCCCATGGTGGGACGCTGGCTGAGCAGATGTGGACATTGTCTGCCAAGGGGAGCCCCACATTCCCGCCTCGGCCTCCGTGCAGCCTCAGCCGCCGTCCCCCAGGGAGGCCACTCAGAGCTACTCCATGGTGCCTGCCCCATCCCTGCACCTCCTCCTCTCTGCTGGACTCCCCAGCAGAGCAGGCCGTGCTGGGCTCCACTGTGCACCACAAGCCCAGTGCCACCCAGATGGGGACACCAACCTGAACCTGTGGCTGCTTCCCTACCTAAATGCTGCTGGTGTTTGCTTTCCCTTCATGGGACTCACAACACTTCCAGCTACTGGCCTTATCAAACTAGCCTTATGTAAGTTTTCTCGTTTTTCCCATCGTTCACCCTCTGACTTGGTAAGTTCCCTGGCTCCCGTTTCTCTGGCATCTCTCATATTTGGATATTTGGAGGCGAGGGGACTGGGGATTGAGCCCAGGTATGCACCCACGCCCTAGGTAAAGCACTCCCACAATGCGGAGCTACACTCCCCGCCCTCTGTTGTGACAGAATCTTGCTGAATTGCCTGCCTAGGCTGGGGTCAAGCTTGTGACTCTCCTACCTCAGCCTCCTGAGCAGTTGGGTTTACAGATGTGTGCCACAGAAGCCAACTACTTTTAAAATCTGGGGGGAAGACAACCCATTTGGGACCACTTCTGCCTCTCAGGAGCTATTCCTATTCCCCATTCCGATCCCCAATAAATTTTCCTGCTCAATCTCTGTCGTTGCTTAGAATTCATTCTTCGACTTCGGGGTAAGCCTGACACGTACAGGCAGGGTTACAATTCCCCCCATATCATCCTGGTGACCCTACCGAGGTCTTCGGAAGAGGCTCCCAAACTCCATGAGATCACAAAGACGGCACCAGCAACAAACGTGCCAGGGCCCTTTCACCGGGGCCCACCAGCTTGACCTCATGAAGCGTTCCTAACAGCTGGGCCCACACGACTTCTAGAAAGGCCACTTAGACTTGCTCTCGGGAGAAGGGCCTGACTGCGGCTCCCTACACCGGCCCTTCTCGGCTCCAAGCAGCTAGCTGGAACCTCTGCCCCTCCCCTAACCGCAGTCAGGCACGGCTCCTCACTCTGCACTCACCAGAGACCGTCGTAGCTGCTGGAAACTATCAAGGATCCATCACGATTAAAATGAACCTAGGAATCAGAGCAGAGGAAAACAGAAACTCACTCCCCAGTGCTGAGTGCACCTCCCGCTGAGGGGACGCCCTCCTGCTCATGGACACAGGCACCCTTCCTTCCAAGCCTGGTCCCTTCCAGGTGGCCGTCAGGACCCAGAAGCGAGACAGGTGAAACAATGGGGCTTCCTTGAGGTGCCTGAGAAAAGTCAGCTCATTTCCCGAGACAACTGGACCACAACCCAGAGCCACCCTGGAACCGCATATGCAGCTCCAACGTGGGTGTCATGGTTTGTGTCTACATCTCCCCAGAGCCTCATGCGGTCACAGGGCTTGTTCAGAGGCGGCTGAATCTATAGAGTGTGTGATGCTGGGATTAAGGGCGTGTGCTTGCTAAACCAGTCCACCGATTGGTTTGGCGCCACCCTGATCCTGGTAGCTTGAATAAGAGGAGCAGAAAGACACTGTTAAGGGTCTCTGTAGCTTTTGCTACCTTGTGGCCACCAGGAACTGTTTCTCCTCTGAGATGTCCCTCTGCCACGTGCCACCCTGCCTGGGAGCCAGCCGATGATGGACCGAAACCGCTTCAAACTGAGCTAAATAAACCTTCCCTCCTCTAACTTTGGGCGTCAGGTATTTTGTCTCAGCAAGGAGAGAAAAGTAACTGACACAGTGGGCAACCAGGACACGCACTGCTGAGCCAGAACCAATCCCACCACCAAGTCCAGGCACTTCCAGCTCTGTCACTTGCACGCTGGGAGGACAGCCTGGTGGTCCAGGGTCAAGAAGGCCTTGATAACAGCCAGAGCGCTGATCAAACCCCGAGCCACACCCAGGCTCCGGAACCACGAGGGGCAGGACGCCAGCGCTGTCCCAGTGCATAAGCATCACCAGGATGCCTGGGACTCAGGCCAGGGAGCCTCCAGGGTGTCCCCAACCACCCACTCTGCCTGGACCCAGGCCTGCTCACCCCAGGGGGACAGCTGGACCACGACCCATCTTGTAACCGAGCTGTTCCCACTTTTTGCCGTTTTATTCCTCTTCCCAGAAGTGAATCTTAGCAGGAAGAAACTGAATGAGTCAGGAACCAAAGTCTAGCGTGAATCTCTGTTTTTCAGTCCTGGGCAAGTGTGATGCAGGATAAGCCTTTTCATACACAAAGACAGCTGGCTTCTCACTATAGGGAAACCTTTCCTCTGGGAAACTAAGCCTCGAGGGCCACCTATACCAAGAGCCCAGGCTGCCTGCACTCCCTGCCCAGTGGGCTGCTCTGCCCTGGCTCAGGACATTCCCAGCCCAGCAGGCCCAGGCTGCCGCAGGAGGCAGTGACCTGGTCCTCCACCCCGAGCTGCCAGCGGACGGGAGCCCACAGTGCCTCACATGGCCCGATCCGAACACAGCTGAGGCCCCTGAGGTGCAACAGCACCGAGCAGCACAGAAATCTGTTTCTGAATCCCCTCTTGGGTCCAAGGAGGTGCTTTCCAAACACAAAAGGTGGCCACTGTGGCCTACGGGCTCCACAGAGCAACACACCCACTGCCTGCAGGGTCCTGCTGTGGCCAGTGAGCTCCAAGGTTGGAAGTGACTGGGGGCCAGGGCTTTAGCTCAGTGGTTTCGCGCCTGCTGCGCAAGCCAAGCGAAAGGACCCGAATTCGATCCCCAGTACCAAAAACAAACAAACAAACAAACAAACAAAAAGTGACTGGGGACACCCATCCACCTATCTAACCCTATGCAACACACCGGAGATGACTGAGGCTTTACTTGCAGGGGAGATGGACCCCAAGAACACTGAGCGACATTCCCAGTCTTTTTCTTTTTCCTTTTTTTTGCCGTACCAGGCATGGAACTCAGGACCTGCAGGTGCGGCACCACTAAGCTAAATATCCAGCCCTTTTTTTATTTCTTATTTTGAGACAAGATCTCACTAAGTAGCCAAGGTGCCCAGGCTGGGCTCAAACCTGCAATCCTCCTGCTTCACTCTGCCCGGGAGCTGGGATTCCAGGCTCACTCTTGCTTCAGGCTGTACCAAGTCTGAAACCTGAAAGGGCAAGGATGCCCGAGGCTAGTGGTCTGCGTGGCTGGCGGCTCCGCAGCTGCTCAGTGTCCCTACCTGTCCGCTGTCCCCACCAGCTGTCCTGGCAGTCGCTCTTGCAGCACCAGCTACTGAACGGTAATCAGCTGACTGCCAACCTCTCAAACTTCTCAACTCCCAGCCACGCCTCTACGCACACACCCCTTTCTTTAAATGTGGCCTAGCAGGGGAGAAACACCCCTCCAGCCCACAGAATAAGCGCTGCACAGCCTGGCCTGGCCTGGCTGGAGGGAGCAGAGGGCCCCTGGGGCAGAGTGTGCAGCTCAGGGCAAACCTGCTGCGCTGTCCCCAGCTGTGCAAGCTGCACAAGCGGGACGCTCACTGCTCTCCTTTGATGAGTGAAGACACGGAGGACTCCCTCCACTGAGACTGGCCTCACTCGGCATGCCCAGTGTGCAGGCACCGACGCCTGGCAGGCCTTTCTGGGGCAGGAGGCAGCACCCGGTCGCTCAGAAACACAGACCCGGAGGGGCAGGCTGAAGGCTGGCAGAGAAACCTGGGAGGAGGACTCAGCCCCTGGCAGCTGGCCAGGCGGGTGCTCAGGTTTCCTCCTCCTCCCAGTCTGTGCCTCTCAGGGGAGCACCCACAGCTTTGCAGGAAGCCTGCTGGACCCCACCTGTCTCAGGAGACCCGCCGCTGTCCCTGGCCACAGTGCTGCCTGATGCTTGCGTCCCACTGTTCGTTCAATGTACTCCACCCTTGAAAGTCAGCGTCACCCTGTGACTACGTGTGGCCCTGGAGGGCAGGGGTGGCATAGGGTCAGGCTGGGCCTATGCCCCCCCGTAAATGATAACTTCACGCCAGCAGACCCTTAGCATTAGTGGTGGCTCCACATACAGGCCAGAATACCCGTCTGTCCACGATGTGTGGTAGCAGGCCTGGCAAAAGCTTTCCACAGCTGGAAAAGCTCAAACTCCTGCACCACTTGGACTGAGAAAGGAGAAAGTCCCCCACTACACTCCTCTCCAGGAAATGCGGCCGCAGCCCGGACTGGCTGCAGACTCTGTAATGACAGGGGCCTCAGCCACTGTCTGTGGGGTACTGGAAGTGAAGCCAGGGCCTCCTGACACTAAGGAAGCTCTCCCCCCAGGTACAGCCCAGTGCCAGGCCGTGCAGAATGTGTGACACCATCCTGGATGCTGCGCTGGCATCTGTGCTGGCAGGATGCAGGCCAGGCAGCACCTGCTCTCCAAGGGCTCCAGCGTGGACAGCCCAGGCCCCGTCTGGGTCGTCCCCATCACCCCACTCATCAAAGCCCCTCCACTCAAACTCCCCACTCTGGGATCATAATGCCTGGCGCACTGCTCCCACTCCGCCGACACCTTCCAACCAGCCACCCTACCCTGAGGCAGCTCAAGAACCCCTGGAAGCCCACGGCCACTCGGTCTCCCCACAGGCACCCGGCCCCTAAGAGCACGAGGCTGAGCAGACCCCGAGCTCTGGACACACAGAGGCTGCGGGCCACGTCCACACAGCAGGGGGACTTACAGCCGAGACGGGGTCGGAGTGAGCAGGCAGCGTCTTGAGGCACTTCCCCGTCTTCACGTCCCAGATCCTCACGCTCTCATCAAACTGAAGAGGGAGGGGGATTACAGCGGCTGCCGAGGCCAGGCAAGCACGGCACCCCTAGAATCCAGGACCTGCCACCGCCTGGGAGCACAGCCCACCGCCCCGGCGCCCGGAGGAAGAGGGCAGCGCACTTACAGACCCTGAGACGATGAGGTTGGACTGCGGGTTGAAGTTGCAGCAGAAGACATAGTTGCTGTGGCCCTTCAGGGTCTTCAGACACTTTCCCTAGAACGGCAGGGCCAGGCTGGTGAGACTGGGCTCCCAGCTCACCCACCGCTGCCCCGGAGACTGCCCTGGGAGAGGACACCACTTACAGAGCTCACGTCCCATATCTTCAAGGTTTTGTCATCTGAAGCAGACACGAGGAGGTTGGAGTCCGATGACCAGGCCACATCGGAGATTCCCTTGGGGAGGAATGAACAAACGCGGCTGCCATCTCTGGACCAAGCTCTGGGCCCCAGACATGCACCGAACCCCTTGGGAAGCCCTCTGGCTCCTGACTGCCACATAGGAGCCACGCACAGGGGCCAGAGCAAAAGGCCACTCTTGGTGGCTCTGCCAGGCAGATGCTCACCCACAGGGGCTCACAGTGTTTGCCCCAAAACCCAAAAGGCAAAACAGCGCCAAGGAAGACAGGGTGGAGAGCCCCACCCGGCCTCTCACGGGCACCTACCAACTTGTGGCCTGAGACAGTTTTCTCAAACTTCCCATCATAGGCGCCCCAGATCTTAATGAGTTTGTCAGCAGCTGAAAGACATGAAGAGAAGCTGGGGCTCAGCGCAGAGCGCGGGCCGGGGCTGGCCCCACACCGAGCCGAGGCACCGGCACAGCCGGCTCAGGAAGCCTCTGGACATGGCCACCAAGGGAGGGCCAGGGGGCAATGCCAACAATAGTGGCTTCCTCCGTTCCGGGGCAGTGTCAGGGAGCAAACCAGCCCACCCAGGCTCTCCCGGCCACTGAGCCCCTACGCACATGAGCTTGCCAACCACTCTCCATTCGGGCTGAACTTCACGGAGGACACCGCTTTCGTGTGGCCAGCCAGGGTGAACTTTAGAGCATAGTTTGGTTTAACAGGTGTCGGCTGTTGGAGAGAGGGCAGGACTGAAGCTAGCCCAAAGCAAGCACCACTCTGCCTTCAACTCCCCTAGCCTGGAAGTCACACTCCACCCCACACAGCAACTGCCAAGCTTAAGCCGCTGTCTGCCGAGACCTCCGGCCCACCATCTCGCCGACCCGGGAAGGTGGCTCCAACTCCGACCCAGACGCCCAAGACCCTGGTCATCACGCCCCATAGCACCTGACCCTGCCAGTGCGGGGGCGGGGTACAGAGCTGCTGAAGGCCCTGCTTCCTGTCAGCAGGGCAGGGACGGGCAGACCTGCCTAGGTACCCCAACTGTGGGGCCTGGTTGGGGTGCTAATTCAGGGATATTTTCTGGGTCTTCCAGACTCCTACATCCAGGACCAAGAATCTAGGGGTTTTTTTTGTGGCACTGGGGATCAAAGACAGGGGGACTCTATCACTGAGCTCTACTCCCAGGCCCTTTTTCTTCTTTATTGAGACAAAATACAGTTATATTGCCCAGGATGGCCTCTAACTTGTAATTCTCCTGTCTCAGCCTCCCAAATAGCTAGGCTTACAGGCCGGAACCTGTATTTCCTTCTTTCTTTTTTTTTGGTACTGGAGATCGAACTCAGGACCTTGTGTTTCCAAGGCAGCCACAGCACCGCTGAGCTAAATCCCCGGCCCCTAGGAACCTGTATTTCTGATAAGGCTCCTTTCCTTCAGGATGACAGGTTTGCGAATCCCTACATGTCCTGTAACAGGCACACGTTACATTATGTGGTCAATGAATAAGACTGGCAGCATATCTAACCAAGTCCCAGAGACTGGACTAACGGGCTTAGTCACAGCCCCGAGAACCTTCCAAGCCTACTTGCCCCAGAGGCTCCCCAGGGGCTCAGGACAAGGGTACAAACCTTGCTCTGCGTGGCCGAGGAGGAAGGGGTGGGCTGTGCCCTTGCGGCCTCTGTCTCCGGCTTCTTCTCCTCTGTGGCCATGGCGCTGAAGCCCACAGGATAGGAAGCCACGGATCGGTTCACAATGGAGGAGGCTGTCTGTGGATCAAACCCTGCGGTGGGGTCCTGGAAACAAATCATGTTTTAAGAAACTAACTTTCAGGCCGAGAGCACAGCTCAGTGGTTGGGTGCTTCTATAGCACCATAAACCCCTGGGTTCTATCCCGAGCACCAAAAACAAAGCTAATTTCCAGGAAAAGGGACAAAGAAAGAAAACATCTGACCAGCACACTGGGCCCTGCAGCAAAAAAATTATTCCAAAGCAGGGAAGCTAAGCATTCCCAGCTCCAGGCTGACACCCCTTCTCTGCCCCCTTCAGTGTGATCCTAACCAAGACCCCATCCTCAAGAGGGCTTCCTATTGGCTCGGGAATGAGCAACAGGACAAGGTGCAAGCTGACACTAAAAAGACCCCAAAGGCTTCTGGACAGAAAGCAAAGGACAGGGAGATGGAGCTTCACGGGTGCAGATGCCCAGGAGCTTGTCCAAACCCTAAAATGCACCCAAGGGACGTGACCTCACTGTAACGCCTCACGGGCAGCCTTCATCAGCACCACACAGGCTGAGTCCCAAAGGCATCTTCCAGGGTGCCTACAGCCTGCAGAGCTCTCCCCGCCAGCACAGCCCCACAAGCAGCCCTACTAAGGCTGCCACAGGAGCCAACCAAGCAGGCTCGGCTCTGGAATTTCTACACCCTCCCTCTGCAGCCACAGCCTGAAGCACAGAGAAAAAGCTGCAAAGGAAACTCCCTGCAGGAGGGGAGGAATGTTGGGCATGGTGGCAAACACCTATAATCCCAGCTCTTCAGAGGCTGAGGCAGGAAGAAGGGCTGAGTTTGAAGCCAGCCTAGGCTACCTAGTGAATTCAAGGACACCCTGAACTACACAGGGAGACACTGTCTCAAAAAACAAAAAAAGAGGGAGGACTGCAGCTCAGTCAAGTTTTGCTTGGCAAAGTACAGCCCAAAATATGCACAGCCAGCAAGTGCTTCCTCCATACCAGCCACAGATGCCACTACCTGAAGGCCTCTCAGGAAAGCAGCAACCTGGCTCTCTCTGAAACGAGGGGAAGCATGGAGAGCCACCAAGAAAGACATGCTCGAAAACGCCACTAGCCACTGGAATCCCTAAAGCCAGCTCTGTTCTAATCTAATAAGTTTGTGTGCTGTGAATTCCTGCTTAGAGTTTAAAACTTAAATCTTGCACAGGTACCCAGGGCAAATGCAGGCCACTGAAAAAGAGCGTGTCTCAAAGCCTTCATCCCAGAGCGGAGAGGACAACACCCTGCATGTCACCTGCAGCAGATTCCAGCCCAATGGTGGATGCGCTGCACCAGGCGCCCAGGGACGAGAGTGGGGGAGGGCAGATCCCATAGAGCTCTCCAGACCCAAAGATCTGGTGCCCAGGAAGAGCCAACTGCTTGCCGTTTATCTTTGACACAACCTGGCTGTGCCAATGCAACCCCACAGGCATCTTCTCATTCAGGGGCTGGACAGGAGGCAGGCGAGAGGAGACCCTGGCACCCTGCCCTACCCTAGCAAACACCGGGGACAATAGATGCTCGGACTTGGTCTTTAGAGGTGGCTCCGCAGGCTGAAGTAGCTCCTTTTGGCCTAGAGCACGACTCACGTGGAGGTGGATGGTGGCTCCTAGAAGATAAGGGCTGCCTTCAGTTGAGGAACACTACCTGGGTGGTCTTAAGCCTGCCCCTCTCACAACATTAGCATGTTAAAAAAAAAAATCTAGTTCCCACAGCGGTGGGTGGGGTCTAAGGCTGGGCATCTTTCCAGGAAGGCTCAGGTGTTTGTGCTGCAACGGTTGGCAGGTAAGAGGAAGGTGGCTGGCCGTTCGCTGGCCTCACAGCCCGCTTGGCAAGCGCTTCTGACCCTGGTGAGCCTGACCACTGCTGGCCCAGCAGCCGTCCCTCAGCGCGCACCCCTGGGCCTCCTGTGAAATACTGACAGCTGGGCTCCACCAGAGCCCGAATTCTGTGTGAGAAGACAGAAAGGAGAAAGGATGCTGCGTTTCCAGCAAGCACCCAAAGATCACGGGCGGGCGGCCTGAGAGCGAGCTGGGGAGCGCCCGGTCCCTCTCCGACTCCCAGATAACGCTGCCCCACGGGCCCTTTCCTCGGGTCGCTGTCTGCTCGCCGAGCTGCCTTTCTAGGGGCTGGCACTGCACTGCCCGGCCAAGGCTTGGGAGTTCCTGGGCCCAGGCTGGCACGGGGCCGGGGACGCCGGCGAGGCCTCGCAGACCGGAGAGCGGAAGCCCGGCCCCCCCACGAACAGGACGCGGGGCCGCGCCGGGCACCCGGACCGCACCCGGGGACCCTGGGGGAGGCGGGCAGAGCGGGGGCTCCGAGGTGCGGCGCTGAGGGCCTGGGTCCCCGGGGCAGCAGCGCAGCGCTCCTCGGGCAACGGCTGCCCGCGCCGGGCGGCTCTGGTCACTGGGGCGGCGGGCGAAGGTGCGGGCGGGCGCGGGCGGCCACGAGGGGCGTCGGAGGCGGCGGCGGCCGGCAGCGCGGGGCCGAGGCCGCAGACACGTGCGGCAGCCGCAGTCCCGGGTCCGCTCCCGCCTCCGCCGCCCCCTGCTCGGGCCTGGCTGCCCGCTTACCTGCCAGCAGCTCAGGGGTCGCGTCGGCCGCCACCTGGGCGCGAGAGCAGGTGAGAGAGACGCGGCGGCGGCGCGGGCGGCGGGCGGCGGGCGGCGGCGAGCGTGCGCAAGGGGCGGGGATGCGGCGGGGGCGGGGCGACGGGCAGCGGAGAGGGCCAGAAAACCCCAGCAGGCGAAATGCCTTAAAGGAGCAGCCCATTGCCCGCGCTTTCTGCAGGAAGGTATCCCCCCCAGGTTTGGCGGGGGCAACCCGTTGTCTTGCGCATTCAGGAACGAACCACTGTATCTCTCCTGCTCACAGCTAGAGTATGCAGGGCTCTCTGTTGTCCCCGGCCCCCAGGGGCCCAGCGCAAACTCAGAACCTGCAGAAGCAAAGCCCTCTGCCAGGGGTCCAGGAACTGCAGCCCGGGGCCAGGGTCCGCGGAAGGCGGGAAAGGTGGGCGCTGCAGGGTGGAGAAAGATCTGGAGCTACCTGGAGGGCGGAAGCTAAAGACAGGCATGTGTAAACAGAAAGCAGTGCAACAGGACACCAGCCAGACACCGCCAGCCTCTGTCTGGCACAGTGCAGTTGTCCCTCGCTTAGGTTGCTCCAGATGCGCGAGGTCAGAGGGTGAAGGTGACCAGAGCTCGCGTTCCAGCCGCAATCTTGCAGGATTTCTGCTTCCAAATGGCCTCTGGCTCCATCTTGGAAAGTCTTTCAGTATTGCCTTCAGCTGGGCTTGTAACAGTTCTATAATCGCAGCACTCCTGGAAGCTCAGACGGAGGGGCAAATTAACCACTTAGTGAGACTCTGCCTCAAAAAAAAAAGAAAATGGGCCCAGGGATTTAGCTCAGTGGGTCCAACGCCTGCCTCGAAAGCACAAAGTCCTGAGTTCGATCCCGGGTACCAAAAAAAAAACTTTAAAAGGGCTGGGGATGGAGCTCAGTGAAAAAGCTCTGGGCTCAATCCCCAGTACAGAAAAAAAAGTTTGCCTTCATTGCAATTTTCCTCTTTACTTTCACAATACTAACAACAGTCACTTGCAGTTGGCAAATGATTTCGAAGACGACGTCTCTCTTCTGGAGCCCACCCTGCCCTCCTCTTCTGGGAAAGGGACACGCGAGAGGGGAACACAGGGGCTTGAGGAAGACTGTGAGCCAGGCCTCCTGCACCCTCTCACTCCGCTGCCCCAGTTAAGCTCACATGTAGGTCTTAGGATCTTGGCAGTATCTCTAGCCCCAGCCCGTGAGAATAACCCCCAGTCTTATTTCCAGGGAAAAGTGGCAATGCCAGGAACCTGTGCAAACAAAGGAACGAGCATTTGAAAGGGAGACATCCGGTGTGCAGTTGCCGTAGCTACAGAAGTAGCAAGACTGGCAATGGTCTGGAGTCCCCCACCCCACCCCCAAGGACAGAGAGACAGCTCTGTGTGGGTCTGTATACCTGGGAGGCCTGATCCCCTGGGCAAGGTGCCCCAGAGTTTGAAGTAGGGACCTCAGAAGGGTGAGGAAGCCAGCACTGATGAAGGACATAGCATCTCCACCTCCACACCTGGCTGCCTGGACCAGAAACAACCCGCTAGAGACCTGCACCCCTCCACCACCACTCAGGTGCTATTCCAACCCATGGTTTCTCCCTTCCTTCCCCAAGCCTCTCCTCCATCCTGGCCTTTTCAAACCTGACCAGGCAAGAGAATATCTAAGGATCCAGCTCTGACCTGCTGGAGACTCAGAATTCACTTCCAGTCACAGCTGGAGTCCAAATCCAAATTCAGACCAGGCCTTCCCCTCCAATCCAGTGTGCCTCAGGTTCTAACCCCTAAAACAATCCTCCAGGCCCAGCAGGATCCCGTCCTGACCCCAGAACCCTCAGGTTCCCAAGTGCTCTCCAGGTGCTCTCAGCCCTCCCTGAGCTTTCTAGTAAAAGTGCTCCCCCCAAAGAGGAACATCTTTGCAGTCCATCCCTGAGCCACGCCACAGCCCTGACACCAAGGATTCCCGCAGGCTGGGGCTACCCAAGTGGTGTCGGGCTCAGAAAACTCACAGGTAGAAATGAAAGACAGAGCGAGAAGTGTGAAGAAACATGGGGTGGAGCACACTAACTGTGCTTTGGCCACCAGGATCCAACTGATAGATGAAACTGTTCCTGTGAAAAAATGTTACAAACGTCACCTTTCCGGAAAGGTTCTTGCCACCCTCCCAAGGCTGTCGTATTGAATGTGGGACACGGCTTCAGTTATAGTGGAAATCAAAACTGAGACATTTGTGAATTTACAGGGAAAAGCTTTAATTAGAAAGTAAGAAAAAATGAAGAGACACGCACAGCTGAGACAAAGATGAAACTGGACCCCTAAAAAAGGAAAGTCAGAGAAGATAGAAAAAGGGCTTTGCTTTAAGAAATGCTAGGGGCACAGGGCTGAAGAAGGGTCAGGCTAGCCCCCGTTCCTGAAGAGAAGGGCCTAGGTTCATGGGGAGACCCCAGTTTCATGGGGTGCTGTGGTGGCCTGGGGTCTGGTTGGTCACTCCCTCAGTCTTGATTTCCTAGCTCTGGAAGAAACCTAACCTGAGCATTTCAGTTCCCAAAAGATGATGGTCCCTGCTGGGGGGGGGGGTGTCTCAGTCACTTGAGGCGCCGCTGGAATCCAAGGCAACCCTAGCTTTAGGCCAGTGGAGACTTCCTGGTGGGGCTGAATGACCACTGTCAGTCGCTATCCTGGTATCCTCAGTCTTCCGCCCACACCCAGTATGGGGATTGAACCTAGGGCCTTTGCACTGAGCTACATCCTTGTTCTTTTTTCATTTTAAAACAGGATCTAGGCAGGGTGTGGTGATGCAGGGCTGTAATCCCAGCACTTACACTTGGGAGGATGAGCAGGAAGATGGCCATGTGTTCAAGGCCAGTTTGGGCTACTTAATGAATTCAAGGCCACCCTGGACTACGTAGTGAGACTTTGTATCAAAAAACAAAAAAGAGACAGGACCTCACGAAACCACCAAATTGCCCAGACTAAGCTTAAACTTGCAATCCTCCTGCCTTAGCCTCAGCCTCCCAGAGTGCTGGGATTACAGGCCCGCGCCACCACAACTAATTTATTAACCCTTCCAGTGAGGAACCAAGGGTTTAGAGAGGTTGAGACACAGCCTGGGGCCTGCAGCCAGTGACACAACCCTCAGGGTCAGGACTGGCTCCAAGCAGAACCTCAGGGGCACTTCTCCAGTGAGCAGCTGCCAGCCGGGGATAGAAAGTGTCCAGGTCTTCAGAAAAGAGCCCCTTGGAGTGCACCGGGCCAGGAGAGGGTGTGTACAGTGGGTCCCCGGGCCTCCCAGTGCAATCAGGATGGGCTGTTGGTCACCACGCACCCATACCGTGGCCCAAGGCCTTCAGGTGACAGTTTCATCCTAATCAGGTTGCAGTTTCACAGGATGACTGGACAGGACCCCAGAAGGTCCCCCAAGAAGAAATGGGGCTGGGTGTGGTGGTGCACACCTGCAATCCCAGCGCTGAGAGGCTGAGGGTGCAGAATCACAAGTTAGGAGGATGCCTAGCCGGGCAACTTCACAACTCAGCGAGACACTGTTTCAAAGATAAAAAATACAAAGGGGCTGGGAATGTAGCTCTGGGCGAAGGCCCTGGGTTTAATACGGGGTACTGGGGGAAGAAAAGTGAGATAGGAACCCTCAGCCCCCTCAAAGGAGGTTTGTGGACTCTTCACAGATGGCTTTCCAGGACGTGTGGTGAGAGGCCCTGGCTGATTGACCAGGCAGAAGTGGAAAGTGAGAGAACATGGAAGGGACCACAGCTCTGATGAGGAGGCTCTGACTGGTCCCCTAGCAAAAGAACAAGACCAGAGTGGGCCTGGTGGCGCACACCTGTGATCCCAGTGCTCAGGAGGCTCAGGCAGGAGAATCGCTGTGAGTTCAAAGTCAGCCTGGGCTACACAGTAAGGCCCTGTCTCGAGAAACACAAAAAAAGGAGACCAGACACTTTTGGATTGAATGAGGTAGGCTAGAGTCTGGCTGATCATTATCCCAGTCTGATTTTGCAGGAGGCTCCGGAGAGGCCGTTCTGTGGAGAGGTCCTTGCCCTCCATCAGGACCCATCGCTGGAAGGACAGTCGCCTCCTACCCCCGCCTGCTTCCTCCTGTGGCGCAGCCTCAGCTCTGCTGGAACCCAGGCCGGCTGCAGGCTTGCGGGTGCTCCGGGTAGCTGAATGTCTGCACACTTCTTGTGGGTCCTCCGTCAGGAAAGCCTGAGGTCCAATCAGCTCAGCTCATCAACACTGTATGCCAACTTTGGGCAGCTGCCCCCACAGGACCCGCTGGCCTCTGCGCGGCCCTGAGAGTTACAGCACAACCAGGGGACAGCTGCGAAGCTGAGGCCAAGGCCAGGCTTTGTCCTGCCCTTCCCGACCACC